CATCAGGGCTCGGCGCATCTCATCCTCCTCCATCCAGTGTCCATAATATCTGGTGAGTAGATTCTGCGACAGGACGAGGAGGACAGAGGACTCAAAGGCAGAGGATTAGATGCAAAGAAAGTTTATTCTCCAAAGGTAACAAAAAACAAATAAAACTGTAACCAAAATAGCGAGCCAGTCTCTGGGGGTAATCCAACTTCGGTCGGCAGTGTGATGCGGACCAAGGGATTAGACGATTGCCCAAGACTCAGCGCTCGCCCAGGACCAACAACCTGAGAGTTGAGTGAGGCAGAGAGATGAAGTCCTTCTCTCTATGCGTCCTGGGAGCAGGGAAGACAGAGGTGAGTGTAACACCAGAGAAGGAAACAACCAGAACACAGGACACAAAACACATCATACACAAAACAAGCTACTCACAACAAGGACTAGACGGAAGAGGAACATAAAGGAAAGGGTAATAACCGACGGGTGGGGTAGAGGCAGCCAGTGACCAGCGCAGCCCCACCGCCAGATCAGTGCTGTTTGCACCGATCACAAGCCGCCGAAAAAGACATGACACACAGACAGCAGAGGGAGCCAGAGGGCACCCTAACCCGTGACAAAAAGGGCTTTTATATGATTGCCTTTATATTTTAAGAAAAAGGGTCTCTGCTAAGAGATTATGTATTTGGGGGTCCATGGCATCAAAATGTTTGAAGAATAATAATAATAAAAAAAGAAACCCTGAACTAGACTTTACAAGGCAACCCAATAGAGTCTTGACCTTGATGAAGGACAATAAGTCACAGTCATTCAAACAGTTTGTTTCACAGTAATATCTTTTTGGTTCCAAATCCTGCTCCACATATGAAATATTTTAAATGTCAGATATGTTTGACTGACTGTGATTGTGTACACAGTGGTTCGGTGTGGACAGACTACTTGCTTGTCACTGGAAACATCGCTCCTGGTTCATGGCATTGAGTTAGAGACACAGGTGTTGTTAACCTGCTGGTATCTCAAACTTCTCAAGGAGATGAGTCAGTGCAGTCCTCTCCATTGCCTCTGTGAGGCTTTTAGGGAAATTAAATCAATGACTGAACATCAAAGCTGTGTTAAATGTGCTAGAAGGTGGTTCTCTAATGCTGCCCTTAATTAAAGGCTGGATCGATGACCTTTTGTGAAAGGTCTGCTGGAGTCTGATAGCAGCTTCTCTCCATTAAAAGTTTAGTTTCACCAAGATTTTTCAACACTCTTCAGTTTTCTATAATCTTGAGGGGACTGGAAAAAAAAAAAAAAAAAATTCAAAAGTCCTTGATTTGTGTAAAGTATATTTCTGCAAGTAACCAGTGATAAAATATTATAGTCAGGTAAATTATTGATTTGACTGATTATTGATTTTAATCTAATTATAATTATTATTATTAGTAGTAGTGTTTAACCACATTATGTTAAGCATTTACAAGACATTGATTGTTTTAGTCTGAATGAAATCAGATATTTAAAGTGCATGTATCTATAGCTAGAGATTTGTCTTTAACAATCTTTTTTTTTTATTCAACCATCATACATGATCTGGATTTAGATGTGGATCAAAGGTGGGTCTTAGCATGGGATGGATGTGTCTGTAGGAACTAAGTGAAGTTCTTTTCAAATCACTTTCAAGACTAAACATCAATGCCATAGTGAGAGTCATTTGTCCAAGGACCAATATTATGCCCAAATACAGAACAACCGAAGACATGGAGAGAAATAAAACATCAATAGAGAATAAAATAACTATTTTTGCACTATGCCAATCAGAGCTTGGAAATTGTGGTTCATTCTTTGGAGATCACCAATGAGAAGTTAGGATTAGGGTTTGGCTTAGGGTTACTTGCATGTAATTATGCACAATTAATTGTTATTATAATAGTAAGTACATGTAACGTGTAACAAGGACACCTTAAAATAAAGTGTAACCAACATTTAAATTGTATATTCAGTGAAATCAGAATTACTGCCAAGGACAACAGAAACAAGAATGAGAAATAGTGTTTAGAGTCCTTGTTTTAGTGCTTGTACACAGACCCATGGGGGGTATGTGGGTCAGGACTGTCAGAATCAGCCTGCTTTTACACAAACTGATGGGTCTTTTGCCTCTTTAAGCCCCCCTTTTCTTCCCACCTCGCCCCCTGCCCATCTCTGCAGGCCTTGGGGAAAATGTTCCTTTGGCCTCCATTAGGAGTGTACAGTATTCCTCCCCAGCACTCGTGCCACTATTAGTTGAGGAAAGAGCGACGGTAATGGTGTCAAACGCCTGTGGCGTGAGGACACTTCCACAAAGCAATGCAAACTCACACCACAGACCTCAGAGCAGCTCAACACTGCTGTTGTGCTCTTCTGAAGAAGGTTGACTCAGGTCTGAGAACTGTGATGTTTATAATATGTCTCCACTGGAGAAATACAAGTATGCCATTTGTTTGACCATTTCCTAGCAAAACCGTACCATAGTTTCAATCAAAATACCACAGTTAGAGCATACGTAACTAGTTTTATATATGATCTACTTTTGGTACTAACAATTGGTGCTTTCACTTATACAACCCTTTCTATAAATGTAATGGCATTTTGCTATTTGAACATAATGTGTGAACAGGAACCATTGTCGAAATTTTTAGAAACAAAGCAATACGATTATGTTATTAGTTGAGCAAGGTTTGAATGCACATGGAAACATGGCAAAAGAAGAACAAAAAAGCAATAAAACAAACATACTACCATTAAAAAGTTTGGGGTCTTACATTTTTTTTGGTAAGAAACTGATACTTTTATTCAACGAGGATGCATTAAATTGATTAAAAAATGATATAAAGACATTTATAATGTTATGAAAGAATTTTATTTCAAATAAATGCTGTTCTTATAACAGCGAATCAGCATATTAAAATTATTTCTGAAGGATCATGTGACACTGAAGACTGGAGTAATGATGCTTAAAATTCAGCTTTGCATCACAGGAATAAATTACATTTTAAACATTAAAGTAGAGAACAGTTATTATAAACTGTACTCATTTTTCACAGTAGTACTGCCTTTCTATTTTTTTCACATAATTCTGATTTTTATCAAAACAATTCTGCTAATGTTTTAAATGAACCTACGTCTAGTTTGAAATTTGTGAAAATTGTATTTTGTGATTACCATTTACATGATATGGATACAGATAAAAAAAAAAAAAACGAAATGAAATGAAAGAGTGAGACAATCTGTGTGGTTTTCTAAGAAATTATCTAAAAGTCGTATATGGATAAAAGACTGAAAACCACTGCATGCATGTGGTGCATTTAAGGTAATGTTACTAATATAATGAGTTTTGATGAGAATCCCAGCAGCAACACTGGTTACCATAGTAAGTTTTTGTAAATATATTTTTCATTTGGTCACAGACAAAGGAAGACTTTTTAATTAACACCTGAAAATGTGTTTACTTTCTGTTTCCCTTTTATTCTTTCTAGAATAATACTGGAGCCTGGCTCACATTTTAAATCAAAGGCTTTGATCAGTAGGGTTTATCTATCGATTATTCTTGCGAGTCTGATCACAACAGACATCACACTTGGTGCAGCCGCCAATAGTCTGTCTCCCCCTCAATGCCATCTGTCTGGTATGGATCCACCGGGGGGAAAATCCAATGTTGGCAGAAGTTTCCTTTTTGAACTGATCTAAGATCAAATTCCCTTTCCACAAACCTCAGTCTGAACTACAACAACAGAAACCACAAATCTGACCTCAGATCAGCACACAAAAACAGCTTTCAGCCAAATTAAGAGGCTCATCCCATGCAAACGCCCATGTTATCGTCTCGCATTTGTGTTTGCGAGCCAGCATCATCCAAAGACACTCATCCTGCGCTGAGATCAAATGACGCTGTGAAGTTTTAATTAAAACCTTGATTAAAGAAACACACATTCTGCATTGAAAGAAGAACGTCAATTTCTCATTACCTTAAATGCACACATCCAAACACACCAATGAACACTGAAAGAAAAAGCAACTGAGGGAGTTTGTCTTTGATGAAGGTGTGTAGAAGTCTCTCTTTGGACTTTAATTATGATTAAGTTTATTAATCATTACCTTCAATAGTGGATTACATCCCAGCTGTGCTTAAACCCATATGATATTACAAGCATCAACTAAATCCTCTAAGGGTATTACAAGGAGGATATAAGGTTGTGAAACATTGAAGACAAGTATCTGGTTTTATAAGTTTATCCCTCTCAGATACAAACAGAGGAAATTAATAAATAAAAAAAAAAAAAAGTGTGGCTTTTTTAAGTGGAAGCACTATATGTGCCAAAAATGATGCTACTCATTATTAAATTCTACTATTCTAACAAGTCAACGAGATCCGGGTCAAAGGACAATGCCAACATGGCGGATGTAGTATGTCCGGGAACGTATTTATGCACACAACTGAATTCCTAAAGAAAATGGAATCCTTTTTCTGATTCAGAGACTCATAAATTGTGGGTTTTAAATAATAAATATGCAATAATATATAAAATAAACATATTTTATTAAATTTAGTCTCTATACTCTCATATACATGTAAATTTTTTAGGGTGCCTTACAATTTAAAAAGTCCATTTATAACTTTTGGTGAAAATGTTTATATGCAAAAAGGACAATTCAATGTAAAGAGTGTCACTTATGGGTCAGCTGCATTGATGAATGTTGTGAAACCTATTTGAAACAAAAAAGTCTGACAGGTTAAGTAAAATTTAATGAATATATAAGCTAATACAGTACATATATAAATATATATATTTTTTTTTTCTTCCTAGCATTTAATGCAGTTTCTTCATTAACATTTGAAAGCATTGATTGCAGCACGATGTTGCTGATATGATGCATTTGCGTGTTTTGATACATGATGCATTTGCTTTTACACTATCATAAATTCTTATTTGCTATAAGCAATGAAACAGACATGAATTATAAATATGAATTTATTTTAAAACATTGCAAAAATATAATTTACACTGCAATACATGCACACAGCTTCTTCATAAAATGCGCCCGTCGTTAGGACTTTCAGCCAATACGCCAAAATTGTGTGGTGGCCACATCTGCAAAATAAAAAAAAGAATAATAAAAAAAATAGCATCATTCAATTTTATGAATTTTATATACTATTTTATACTCTGAGGAAAAAAGCTGCCACTGGGGCAGTGTCCTTTCCAGAGGTACACATTGTGGAGCATTTTAGTACATATTAGCACTTAAAGTGTACATAGTAGTACCTAAATGGTACACATATTAGAAGCTTTTGAAAGGGTATCCCCCCAGTGGCAGCTTTTGTACCTTTTTGTCTGAGAGTGTACATTTTCATAATATGCATTTATACTACTTTAGAATATTATTTTAAACTTTAACAGAAATTGTACAATTCAAAAAAGTGGAGAAAACATCTTTTCCTTGTAAGACCCCCCACCCCCTTATCATTTGCCTCTTACTTTCCAATCGGGCTGACAGAAGGTGAGGAGACCTGTTTACAGGGTCATGGGCACATGACGCTATACTAGTCGACAGCCGAAAACAGTTTCAAATGAAGATGGCATTCCGTTCTTCAGCTACTTGCTAAATTATACTTTGAATTAATTTATTTGCATTTTCAAATAAAAGTAAAATTAAGAAAGGATTTGATTTTGTATTGCTTGTTTGAGAAAAAAACACTCTTTAAAAAATACTACATAAAAGGGCAACAGTTCAAACTCAAAAAGCTTGTGGTTTGGCCTTTGGGGAAGTGTATAGGTCAAGAAATGAGACTGTATTCTCATTACCTTTAAGCAAACACGGCCTCGGATCAAGGCATAGGGAATTGGACCATAGCTTCGGGAATCTGTGGAATTCCGAAGGTTATCGCCTTCCAGCCACACATGGCCTCTTGGAACCTAGATCACAGCAGGATGGGAAGTCTAAAATGTTAAACCATCATGCTAACTTGAGAAAATGGTTACAATTTATTCTGATTGCAGCCACACTCATCTAAAATGATTCTTCGCCCCACTACGAAATGCATTCGCATGCGACACACCGTATTGAAACACTAGGATCTCCCCGGATTAGAGGATAAAGAAGAAGTTCCTAACAGTGAGAAAGTTCACATGACTTAACTGCTCATCTCAGATGGGAATGGGATCATTTTTACTGACCGCTGGGGCCTCGCAGGCCCCCCACCCTCTTTATCCTCTCGGTGAGGGGTGAAGCCACGCCTCCGTGAGTTGCTCCATGGGTCTAGACCATGGACAGACCTGCCAGGCTGGGCCGGCAACCGAGCGAATCCTGATCTACACTGACATCAATTAGGAATAATCTCATCACACAGGGAGAGTGGGGCTGTCAAGCCCCTAATTAAGTCCCCTCCACCCTCTCTATATGTGAGGCGAGGGTGAACAACACATCACATTGTCATTATAAACATAACCGTATGGAGATGCCTATCTGGCACTGACCAAACTGAAGAATTTTTAAGTTCGTTTTTCCCCATCAAGTAGAATTCCAAAGAATCATATGAAGAATTTCATAGAATCTTGTAGGATTTGATACAGTATTCTTATAGTCACACCAGATATCTAACAAAGCCATCTCATGCACTAATGTGTGAGAATGACTAAATAGGACCCACAAAATGATTTGCTGACCTTCTGTATTGCAAACAAATGCATCATTGACAAATGCAAAAGAATCGTGATTATAAACATATGTCAGCATGGAGTCGTCTTGCAGTCGACTCTCATTAGCATGGAAACATATGTTTGATCCCATCCACAAGAAATCTCAGCCCGTTGTCATCTTCTGTTCCAAAGCGAAGCTTTTGTCCTGTCTGTCAGCCAAGCATACGAGAAATCACACCATACTGTGACCAAACACAAATGTTGACATTGACAACCCTGCATTCGGTCTTCAAAGCATGTCAACATATTCTGTTACACCAAATACACAAAATAATGATCTTTAAAAAAGCATCACATGACCCCTTTAAGATTTCACACTTGAAATCGCTTTTCATACATTTTAAGAGTAGAAGAAACTGTATCAGGCATTGCTGTCTTGTAATTATACAACAATTTACTAAATTCTGACTTTGCAATCGGGTTATGATGGCTAGTACTGAGAGTGAGCAAACTTCTACAATCTTGGGTCCTTGTTCATCTGAGGGTTTGTATTTCTTTACCTTAAATGACTGCGGTGACAGGCCTTTCTTTCTCTCCTTTCTCTTCATCACTTGCTCTACTCATCTGGCACTAACACTAACAGCTTCGGGAAAAATTACAGGCCAGAACCGCACATAGTCAAGGTGGAAAAAAAAAAACAAGTGATACAAAAAAAGCAATAACAGCTATTTTTAGTGACAGGGTGGCTATGCTCTCTCTGGACCAATAATAACTGACAAACAAGCATTTGTTGTTGCCATAAGGTAAACGTTTTACCCAACGGAGGTGAAAGCATGTGAAATACACCTTAAGAGTAAAGCACAGTGGTTTATACAAAAAAAAAAAAAGGACTTCAGAAAGTGTCTCTATGGGTTTAAGGAAAAGAAATCATTCCTTTAAGCAGAGTGTGGTACTCACGTAAGTGTGTGTTTTAAAGATGTCTGATGGTCCACTAGTGCAGACTTTGTCCCCCTCCAGCCCCATCACTCGTTTACAAATGTTCATCTTTGGATCAAAAGGACTTTTGGCTATTACGATATCCCCTCTGGAAGAATGTAACAGGTAAGGTCAAAATAAAGCCGATACTCAAAGATTCTGCATGACAGTATGATCAATAAAAGTCAAATAAAAGCATTTCATACTCACTTTTGTATTCGACAGAGGTGACGGCTTGCTCGTTCTGAGAAAACCACGTCGTGGTTAGTGATGGTGGGTTCCATGGAAGGTCCTGAACACTGTTTGTAGGTGAATTGTGGGTAGAAATTAACATTTACTAACATTTATGCATTTCTTTTACTTTGTCGACGCAAATGCTTTAATCGCCAAGAAACTTACCGACACAAATTCGCCAATATACTCAAAGGCACAGTGAGCGATGCAGCCATACTGAACGGTGTAACCGACAAAGCTAATCGTCTTTACAAAGAAACCGCGAAACATCCTGCCAGTCTTCAGAAATCCTGAAATAAAAAAAAATGAATTTAAATTATAAACAATTATTCACATCCAACACTGATTTTGGAATACTGGTGATATTGAGCACATTTACTGATTTGTTTGAGTTCTAAAACAGGTTCATGAATATGAAGTCTGAGATTTAAAATTAAATTCAGCAAGAGTAACAAGACATTACTGGAAGGGAAATGGAATCGGGACATGTCATAGACAATACTTAAAGTTGGCATGAAATGTAAATTCATCCTATTTTTAAAATGCATCTTATTGATCTTATTGTGAATAATTCAGTTTTTTTTTAGAAACAACTGACATACGTTTAGGCAGAATACCTAAAATTACCAAATGAAATAAAAGTTAATTAAGCTATACAGAAATAAATCAAAATCAATGACAAAAGCACTTAACAAATGTACTAAATCTTACAAAATAAAAACAGAAAATATATAAACAAAAAAAAGCCAATTAAACATTAATAAATACTGTAATAGTATATAAACAATACTAAAGCAACACTGGTGTATGACAGTTTCAAGACACGTAAATTAAACCCTAAATTAAGAATGTAACATTATATTACTATTTTTTTATTAATTATTTTATGACTAAAAATGACCATCCTAAACCATTCTTAACGAGAACAGCTCTGGAGCACATGCTCTAACTGCTATACTTCAACTCCAAATGAAAACCTTAAATTTGCATGGCATTCTCAATCGGACCTCTTACTCAGTTGCTAAAATTGACGACACAGACCTGTGCCAGAGGGTCGAAAGAGGGTTTTAAACACTTTGTCACTGAGGTGGTGTTGGTGGGGAAATGCACCTCACACATTTAATGGCTAACGGTTAAAACTGTGAAACCAAAGTGATCATTAGAGATGGTGTTTCATTCTCAGGAGCCTCTACAACCCATCAACTCAAGACACAAATAGTGACCCCTGGGCATCTGACCCTGTCTCAGACAACCCAATCTACACCTGTGGGAGCAGGTGACAGTGCTAGCAGGCACAGGTCCATCTCCTCGAGCTGAAAAAAAGAGTGTTTCGCTATGGCCATAGCAACAGAACACGAGGTCTTTTGTTTGTCCTCACACCACGGCACTTTAACTGATAAAACTGTGGTGCGTTGTCAGAATAAACAGTCCATCCTCTCTCAAACTATTGACTTTTCCTTGGCCATCAAGCTAGCAGCGTGTGTGAGTCAATAAAGGTCGTGTTTGGATGTTTGTACACTCTTAAAGGAATAATTCACCTTAAATGTACTCACCTCAGGCCATCCGAGATGTAGATGAGTTTGTTTCTTCATCACAACAGATTTGCAAAAATTTCTAATTTCTTCACTTTCTCACCAATGGATCCTCTGCAGTGAATGGGTGCTGTCAGAATGAGAGTCCAAACAGCTGATAAAAACATCACAATAATCCACAAGCAATCCACTCCAGTCCACCAATTAACGTCTTGCATGAAACAAAAGCATCGTTAAGGCATTTTAACTGTCACTTCCAGCCAAAACACCAGTCTCCAATCCATGCTTCCTCCAGTGAAAAAGTCTATCTCCTGTTGTCCTCTCACAAAAAACATACGCATACATATTTGTTTGGAACTGTTTTGGACTGTTTTCACTTGTAAACTGTGCTGTTTCACTTGTATCTGTTCAAACAAGATGACTTCTTCACTGGAAAAAGCTATATTATGGATAGAGGACTCTTATTTTAGCCAGAAGTCTGATGTTAAAAATTTATTTTGTTTATCCATCAGATGTTAATTGATGGACTGGAGCCCTGACGATTACTCGTGGATTATTGTGATGCTGTTATCAGTAAGAATTTAATTTTGACGGCACCCATTCACTACAGGATCCATTGGTAAACAAGTGATGTAATGCTTTCTCGAAACAAACTCATCTACATCTTTGGGAGGCCTAAGGGTGTGTACATTTGCAGCATTTTTAATTTATACATTTTTTTTTTGGTTGATCTATTCCTTTAAAAATAAAGGTTCCAAAAGAGGTTTTTGTAGCAATGTATTATAACCACCATTTGGGGGTTCATTTCCCCAAAGAACCTTTTGTGCAATGGAAAGATTCTATGGATCTTAAAGAACCATCAATGCCAATAAAGAACCTTTATTTTTAATAGTGTACACATCCACAAAACCTCACTTGGCTAAGAAACAGCTCAAAAGATAACCCAACACTTCAATGAGGTGCCGTTTGTCGGTTTTAAAAACTGCTTCCCAACAAAAAACTCTGAAAATCAAGCTCTTGCACAATTAGAAAACAAATCTTCAGAAGAACAACCTCACTGGTTATCCAATGAAGGATAAACCTCAATCTTTTCTCCTGAAACAAACCAAAAGAATCAAGGCGACCCAGCCGAGCAGAAACTGAACGAAACCGAGCCCTATCCCAAAAGCCCCTATTGCCTCGGGAATGACATCTCCAATATGGGGCGGAATTAATCCTTCTGTCCCCTACTTCCTCCATCTCAGTCCCAGGCCAAGTGTCAGGTGTCTGTCTCCATGTGTCATGGAAAGTGCTACACCTAATCCCATTGCCCACCAGCCATCTCCTCGCCCCATACCTCTGTCCCCTGCTCCCCTCTCTTTCCATTCCAGTTAGACATCGAATCCACACCTCTGAATCCTCATAATTACGTCTGATACCCCCAACACAAACAGGGTGTACGAGAGTTAGCTGCTCTACCCAAAGGCCCCCTCCGTCCAGGGATGTTTCTGCCTGACTGGATGTCGTCGTCGTATCTCAGGGAGGCCGTGAAAGGGCCAGCTGTTGTTTTGCTTATCAAACTCCAGGGTGGGGTGAACAAACTATTGTTTCTGAGCGGTTTTCCCTGGCAATTGATAGCGGGCACAGATTCTCTGCCTAAACTATAACATATATGCTCACCTTTTAAACCTCTATAAAGCATCTTTTGGGATGTACTGTAGGGATGGGCAAAATGAAATATTTTCAAACTCGACTAGGCAGTTGGTTGCCTGAATGACTAGTAACTACTCAGTCTTAAGGAAACCCTGTATAATTTGCTGCTTTTGGTTCCCCTGACCCGACATATTTTTAGAAGGCGTTCACATAACAAAGGGTTTTGATCCAGAAATTAATTCCTCTAGTTCTATCCATCATTTTCTCATCCTGACCTCAAGAGACGGTGTGTCGCGTTCATAACGTGGATAATGTGTGGCGGAGAACACAGCATCCCCAACTACGTCTAGTCGTCCAATCACCAGCACCGTCACTGTTGTGGGCGTCCAGCATAGGTGAGGATTAAGGATTTAGCATAATAAGATTACACGGCCAGTGAATGATATCAAGAGACAGTCCATATGCGGCCGCCTGGTTTTCCACTGGCACCCTGTGTGTGTGAGAGAGAGGCTGGGAGAGTCAGCTGCTTGGAATCAAATGGAGTTTAGCCAAAATCAAACAGACCTTCAGAAAATTGAGATGAAAATCTCTATTTCCGAACATTCCCCCTGTGTGTTCGGAACAAGCACTAACTGCCACATGATTCCCTGGGCGGGGAAGTGACAGAACCAAAATGAATTTGATCTAACAATTGGATAATTAACTCCAAGTCTCCCCTTAATCCAGGATTACACAGTACAATGTATATATTTGCTACACAGAGTCACATAGAGCATCTCTGGAGAGCCATCTGTGGCCCCAGACCCCCAAACCCCATAATGCAACAGAAGGGAGAAAGGGTTCCCAGAGAGCTGAGAAGCAGGTGGCATCAAAATGCTCTTTTAATCCTATAAATCTGCTGTAAAACAAACTTTTAAAATTAAACAAATCTCTTGAGACAGAGCTTTTAGAAGCATTTAATCTGATAAACAGCTCTATAAATAATAGATTATTTACAGTTTAAAAATTGGCACTGAAACTTGTTGAATTGTGATTATAATATCATTACATGGCAAATGCTTTTCCATTTCACGTGAGAACTTGCCAACAAGTAAGACAATAACTAAAAACAACAACAAGTGCTTTGTTGTAAGGATGTGTTCATTTTTATTTCTTAAGTATTAGAAAAATGAAATAAGCTGTTGCATCTTGAACTCAGGACATGGACGTTGCATTAATATGGCAGGTGAAGTAAAAAAAACAAGTTGTGAAATAGTATTTAAATATTAAAATATGTGAAATAGTTCAACAGACCCTGCATAGATCAGTCTACGCAAAAACACACTACCTTACAGTCTCCATATAGTGATACACTGGATATATATATATATAAAAACCAAAACAAAAAAATTAAAACAAAAAAAAATTTCAACAAATTAAAACAGCCGAAATGCATCATCTGAGAAGTGCTAATTAAGAATTTCAGTTTTTTTGTCGTTGTTGTTTTTTCAGTGGCAAATTTCGGTGCATAATTACATATAATATTGAGAAAAATAATCTACGGCATACATAAATGTTTTACTTCAAAAAATCAAATGGAGGCACAAACAGTTTCAAATATTACAGCAAAACACATAGATATCCCTTTAAGAGTCAATTACAATGAAATACATAATGCAAACACCTGGTAAACAAAGCAAAGCGTGCAAACACCAATTCAGGCATTGAGACTGATGTCACACTCGTGTAAAGGTCACAGTGACTCCATGCCACCATCTAATGTGCTAACACTCCGCTGACCTCCTGAAATAGCAAAGAAAATAAACAGCAGCCCAGGTGACACTGGAGAGCAGGCTGCAATTCTGAGCGCCATTGTTCATGATTGCCGGACATTCAGAATGAAAATTAGTAAAAAAAAAAGAAAAAGAAAAAGAAATTTGGTTCAGAAAACAATCAATATATTGAATACACTCTAAACAAAAATGGTGCTACATAGCACTAAAATAGCACTGTGGTTCACTGGCTTGTAATCATAGGGGAACCACTTTAAGTGCTATCTTTAAAGATGCTATACAGCACCTTTGTCAAATGGTGCTATGTAGAACCATAAGAGGAGCCCCATTCTCCTCCTCAGATTTTAGATGTTACTCCACTGTCATATGTTTGCTATTAATGGGAATATACTACAATGGCAAAAGCAGTTTTGAATCACTTTTATGCTTTTCTGAGGTCAAAAAGTCTTGTGTGGGGGCCTGGAATATTTCCTTATGGGGGGCCTTGGGGGCAAAAAGGTTGAGAACCACATTATCTTCAGGAAATACACTGTATTTTAATGCCACTTTTTAATCTTTCCCCAACTAAACTGAGAGACTAGTTAGAGAACCTTTAAAGAACTACAGTATACAGGGGCTTAACGGGTTTTTTGTGTGGCAGTGGTGCTATGTAGCACCTCAACCACCCCGAAGAACCACTGAAGAAAATGTTTTTGTGTGTGTGTAGAAAAAATACTAATATATAATATATACACTAACGGTCAAAAGATTAGAATACTTAAGATTTTATGTCTTTGAAAGAAGTTTACAAGGCTACATTTATTTGATCAAAAATACAATATGACAGCAATATTGTGAAATATAATTACAATCAAAAAAAACTTTTTTTTTTGTTTCTGTGTGATGATACATACTGGGATTTAGAGGCAATATTATATTCTTAAATTATGTATTTACTCATTATTTTAAACCTTAAAATATCCTAAGACAGTGAGCAATAAGAGAGGAACTGAATCCCAAGGCCTGCTTCACAGCTTCTTATCACAGCACATCTGCATTTAGACATACATGAGAAGCTCGACTTTGGGAGCTTCTGCGGGACTTAAGAAGATTACATAGATTTGAATAGTGTTAACTAAGATGGCGTTCCCCCGAGAACCCAGATGGAAGGAAGATGAGGAGGGGGGGACCTCTCTGATGTTCTCGATCTGTGTGGCAGAAGGCAGCTGAGGGTGGCCTCGCATTGCTCTCTTTGTCCGTTGAAAGGGATCGGAGAACCTAGAGATTTGGTAATCGGGAGGCTATCAGTGCGGCTATCAAAATTAGGCTGACACCTGGTTGGTTGGAGGACAGATGTCTGCATGCATGACATAAAGGAACCCTCCCTCCATCACTTGATTTTTACAACAGTCCAATGGAAATCGAATGAATTTTAAAAGGCAGATAATGACTAAAGCCAATTACAGTCAATCCCCATAAATATGACCAAAATCGAAGGATTTCAAAGGATGCTGAGCTAGTTCTGTAACAATGACATGACAGACTAATCTTTATTGAAATGACCTTTGACTGCAGTCTGAACCCAAGATAGAGCTGAAAGGCAAACAGATCTTATCTGATGTCCCAAGTTAGGCCTTCTGTTTTGGCTAAAAGAGGAAACTTACAATTCTCCAATCACTAAATGCCCATCCCTAGTACCGATTTCTTTTTAAAATTAGCCTGCTTTGTTTTTATGTTATAGATATCTTTTATTTCATATTGGAAAAAAAATACAGATTAATGCCGTTTTCGGAGCAGAGAATAAAATGACCTTCCTGTGGGTCACAAATAATAAAACCACAACCCTATAATCGTCCTGGCATCCAAGATTATTACTTTCCTTTCAACACCAACGCAAACAAACCCTCCGCAGATGACAATCTAACTTCCCTTCTGAGCAATGCCACTATATTCTTAACCTCAGATTGTGGTGGCAAAGAGAATCACGCTGGGGAATCCCAAACAAGCTGCCCAGGAAACATTTGACATGTTATGACTGTTAGTATTAGCACTGTGTGGAACAATCAGATATGAGTTGATAAAAATAACATAAGAGATACCAGCATCTGGATGACCTAAAAAGTGCACCTCAACAATAAATGGACCTGTCTAGTGGAAATCTAGAATTTTCATGTACACTCTAAAAAATGCTGGGTTAAATACAACCCAGTGCTGGGTAAAATAGGGACAAACCCAGCAATTGGGTTGTTTTGACCCAGCGGTTAGGTTACTACCCAGAAGGTTGGGTTAA